TATTATTATTATTATTATTATTATTTTCAAAACAAGATATGCTCCAGCATTAGGGAGTTTGTGAACCAGGAGAATACTTTGAATGTTTCCCTTGATGTCCAGCATTTGAAATGCAAATAGAGAAGGATTGCAAGAACAATGAGGTGAACCTTTCCTGTTCTGATTTTCTCTTTTCTCTCTTTGTTTTCATGAAGGGAGTTGTTGGTGGGGTAACTGGGATAATCACAAAACCCGTGGAAGGTAAGTCAGTAGGGTTGCTGTAGTGACTAATTGTCAGTACTGGTTTTTTTTTATTTTTGCAAATTTAACATTAAAAACCAAAAATAAATTGAACTAACAAAGAAAAGGAAAACAGAAAAAAGAGCAAAAAAAGAACCATATATACAATAATGTTAGTACTCCCCATAAACCACCATTATAAATTTGCAATATGAATATAGTTGTAGCCATCACTACAAACTGTATGTCTCTAATTAAACATATAAATCAGTTTATACCTTCCAGGAGTCCAATTAAATGTTGTTATGGAATTGTTGTCTCTACCATGTTGTTAATGTTCTAATGTAGCTAGGATTATGATAGATAACATTTTCTGATAACCTAGTCATATACACAGTCAGTTTCCGACATGGGCCAATTTCCTGCAAAGATGAGCAATGGCTCAAGCAGCTGGTGTTTTTCTTTCTTCTAACATCTTCCTTGAAACAGTGTTTAATTTTAAAATGACAACAAGATATAACAGTGGAAATATTTGGCTTTTCAGAAAACAAGCAGGAGGTGGTGTTAAAAATAAAGTAGGAATCTCAAATGTCCTAAAGAGAATTCACTGAGGCAGGATTTCACACCAATAATGAGGAGGAACATGATGGGTTCCAGCACCTGTTTGTATTTCTCTGGCTAGGAATTCTAGAATCAATAGTATTTGGGGTGTTTCTTCCTCCAGAGATGCAAAAAGAAATAATTTAGCAGGACACAAAAGAGGCATGAATTAGAGCATATGACAGAAATCTTATTGAATCTTATGGATTTCATGCATTATGGATTTCAAGGAGATGTAACGTCCAGCAGGCTTGTTTAATATGGCAGGTGTCGTGTCCCCCAACTACTCTTGCGTTGAGTTCCATGCTAGTTAAGTAGTTTTGATGCAATGTAAGAAGGCTGACGTTTGCCACAGGAACTCAGCAGTGATACTTGTTAGGTGGAAAGGGGCTGTTTGGGAATTTAGCCCTGTTCTAAGAGAGTTAAGAGACAGCAGCTCTGGCTGCTTGGGTGTGCTTCTCAAGGTTGGTGATTATTAAGTAGCAAATGGAGGCTCCTTCCTTGCCCTAAATGCATCCTTTTAATTTGAGAAGCCTGGCCTTTAACAGGAAGAACACAACCTTCTGCTTTTCCCTTTTTATGCTTGAAGGGGCCAAAAAAGAAGGTGCGGCTGGTTTCTTCAAAGGGATTGGAAAGGGGCTGGTCGGAGTGGTGGCGCGTCCGACAGGAGGCATTGTGGACATGGCCAGCAGTACCTTCCAGGGCATCCAGCGGTAAGCGGTCTTGAGACACCTGGCTTGCTGTCCTGCCTTTTGGAAAGCAGCGCTCGAGTTGCTAAGAGAAGCTCCAGAGCAGAAGGCTTCGGCTCAATTAGGGAGGGGGCTGAATTCTGAATTCTAAAGCAGTGCCCTTTTTTCCCTACAGGAATATCCCTTTTGCAATTTAGTTTTTCCCTTTGTTCAACTTATCCCCTCTGGGACCTCTGCTTTTATAGTGCCATTCTTAGTTCTTTCCTGGCCATAACCAGCACTTTAAATTGTTTCATTGTTTGTTGCCTTTACAGGTTTTTTTCTTGGGGGGGGAGGAGGAGAAATCTGCTCTACTATGGATGTTTTGGTTTCCCCCTTGGGTATTTCCCTGAGAGACAGTGCTTAAAACAGAACCTTTGGTAATTCTTTTTGTAGTTTGGTTACTTTGCACAGTCCCCATGGCATTGTTTCATACAATTGGTTTGAAATCTGGCTTTTAAAGTGATGAAGAATAAAAATGAATGTAGAGATGAGAAAATGGAGATCTCGATTTGATTGATTGATTTTGCAATATATTTTGGCAGGGTGGCCGAGTCAACGGAGGAGGTGTCCAATCTGCGCCCTCCCCGTCTCATTCATGAAGATGGCATCATTCGTCCGTATGACCTGGGAGAAGCTGAGGGCTATAACCTGTTTGAGGTGAATGATCTTCAAAATAAAAAGAGCCGATAAGTTTAAGATGCATCCTATGTTTTGCAAGTGATACCAGTTAGATCTTGGTGATACGACCAGATGTATGTACAACCGTAGATATTTTGCCCACAGTTGTAAAAATTCCCCTGGCCTCCTCTCCAAGCTGTTCCTGAGAAATAATCTGTACTGAAGGGTTGCATCTCTCGTTGTGTTTTGTGTGTTACATCACAGCTGTGATCTAGAGGTGTGGCAGAATAGATTTCCAAACAGTTCGCAAGAACGGAATCTGACCCCTGCTCGAGGTTAGCATTTAGCTGCCTCATGCAGTGCTCAGCAAGGTGAATGGGTTTACTTCGCTGAGTTTCACATTGTGAGGAAGCCCCTTTATCTGTTTTGCTGTTTTGAAAAACCTGGTACTTAGTGGGCAAAGGAAAAACAAATCCTATGCAAACTTCAACCTAGTCTGTTTGTCTGGAGTGTGTTTGAGGCAATCCTCTCTAGAGACAGTATTATAGTCCATGCTTGGGTGTGATGGGAGCAAGCCTGTGTGTAATTTGGGCTGAGAAGCTGCTTGACCTTGTCTTATCTGTGCAAAAAGGCTGGCAGCTTTAGTGTCTGTTTTATTATTATTATTATTATTTTCACTTCTTAAAAACTGCAACTTCCACAGATCTAGTCATGGTAGTCCATTCAGCATGTATTTTTTAAAGAAGAGATACTGGCTTTGTTGGGATACCATAAATAATAGTTAAGTATTTCAAGAACAAACCTGGTCTATTGGAAGCTGTGTTGAGGTCCCCAGGTAGACTTCTCTTCTGACTTGGGAGCTGGTGCGGCCTAGCCAAGAAAGAGGTGGCAAGTTTGGACTCAGAGGACAGCGGAGCCGCGGAGCTCCATGCGTGCTCTCTCTGTCATGCAAAGTCCCCTTTGCCTAAACCTACCACCTCCCCGTCCGTTTGGAAGAACTCCCCCTGTCCCAGTGTAGACGCAGAGGAAGAAAGGTGAGGTTCAGAAATAATGATACATGTTTGGTTTTATTCCTATGAATACATATTCATTTTTGCTGCGCTCTTCAGCCAGTGTTATAGATTTTGTTTCCTTTTTTTAAATGCAAGAATGTGATTTCAACACTGGCAAGAATCATGCCTCTTGTTTGGTAACACTCTTGTAAGCCAAATATGAAATCTCACCAAATAGGTGTGCTTTTAAAATGACCTTTTCTTTTCTTCTCTACTGCCTTCTGTACAAGAGCTATTTCTAATCTATTTCTCTCTCTTTTCTCTTTCCCGCCGTGCATACGCAGCAGCTGGAATAAAGGAACCTACTGTTTCTGTTGTTTTTTATCTGATTATATTTAATCATTGTTTTCTACCTTGGTTTATCTTAACAATGCAGGATATGATTCTGTATTTATTTATTTAAAATATTTCCGTCTCGCTTTCCTCCTTTAAAAAGGCCCAGGGTGGCTTTAGAAATTCACTATTTTTTTACATCTTCCCCAGAGGCCTTTATGTATCACTGGTACCTTGGTTTTGAACAACTAATTTCAAATGCTAGGGAAACAATTTCCAATTCTTAAGGTTAGCAACACGTTAGAGAAAACTAAAGGACTGGAAAAGAGGTTGCCTTTTTGAATTTGCCAATTCTTCTTGATACTTTTGCATACCATGTTTCCCCGAAAATAAGACAGTGTCTTATATTAATTTTTGCTCCAAAAAAATGCATATGGCTTATTTTCAGGGGATGCTTCATTTTACAGTCCTTTTATCTTCTGATTGCTGCACAATGGTGGAGAGCGGGGTTTCACTTAACTAGGGCTTATTTTTGGGGTTGGGCTTATATTACGAGTATCCTGAAAAATCATACTAGGGCTTATTTTCAGGTTAGGTCTTATTTTCAGGGAAAAACGGTACATCTTATCTGCAGCATCAGTATCTGCTGATTCACTTATCCACGGTCTGAAAATATGAAAAGAAAAACCCTAGAAATAAATAAAGTTGAAGTTACCAGAACCGGCCACTAGAGGGAGCATGAGGCCATCCTATGTCTAGCGTTCGCTATTAATCCTGTAATCTACCTTTTTCAGCATCTGTGGGGGAGGCTTAGAACCAATCCCCCACGGATATGGGGGTCCTGTTATAATTAAGAGCATATAGCAAGATATTGATGTCAGAGTAGCTTATAGGAATAGAGGAGCGCAGGGAGTCAGACCCTCGGCCTGTTAACCCCACAGTCTCACTTGCTTTGTCACGAAAGAAGTCCAATATTGGACTGGGTCTCAGGGAAGCAGAATCTCTAACACGTCCTGCCCTTGATAACATTCATCTGACTTTAGAGGGCAATACACAGGCAAGAAATGGGGTGGGGTTGTTGGCGGAAGCAGCAGAGTGGAATGTCTGCCCCAGATTCTTTCTTCCCTGGAGATCACCAGGTGTTCCTTGTTGATGTCGCATCCACCGACTGCGCCTACTTAATAGCTCACTTTAGACAAGATAGCCTGTTTGCAACTGATACGGGAATGTGTGAAACGAGATCATTTTATTATATACAGCCAGACTCTACAAAGGTGTGAATGTGGGCTTTGAAGTCATACTTCTCATTCATACCAAAAGTTTTGGTATGATAAGGAGGGCTTTGATACCGGTTTTTCCACACCCACCCACTGCCTCTTGAAGGTAGGAAGCTGGTGATGGCCCGATGGTGGCCTTGCTTGGTATTTTGAAGGCAGCCCCACAAGAACAGGACCTCCGCCGCCCAAGTAGGGGCCTCAAAAAGACAACTGTGTTTGGTGAGCTGCAAGATAGGCAGGCGGGCAGAATTTATGAAGTATGTAGAGAATGGATGATGAGATGGGGCCGGAGCTGGGAAATGGAGCTACATCTCTGAAAAAGGAACTTTTCCAAACCCTAGACAGGAAGGAGGGCTTCCACTGTAAGTGAAAGAGGCAGCCAAAAAGTTCAAGAAATCTCATCCTATCTGAAGTGGGGAAACTCCTGGGCAGAAAGCTACGTGAAATTCAGATCTTTAGCGAAAGCTGCGTCAAAACATGACGAATCACTAACATGTAACATGTCCCTTCCTTGGACATCTGTCTCTAGAATGGCAATTGATATGGCCCTATTGATTTCCGAAAGTATCTTTGTCAAGAAATGCGCCATTGCCGTGGCAGAGGTGTTCTTTTTGAGAACCAAAACCCAGTGCCTTGTTGCTCAGAGGAAACCATTGGGGGTTCTTTCCACTTCATTTTCGTTTAGGAGCGCTCACTCACTTTACATTTAGGAATGTGTCTGTCTCTATTATTTTGTTACAAAATAAAAAGATAACAAATAAAGACTATAAATAATAACATGCTGTATTGATTTAATGATAAAAGGATAACATTTGGGGATATGTTATGCAGCACAGTTGTGCAAAATATTGGCTGTAATATGAATGAACAATATGGACATTCAGTCTTTTTTTGTTTTTTGAACAGAGAATCATAGACTTGAGGAACTGGAAGGGACCTAGTAGTTACCTGCTTGATTTTCTTATAGATGAAGATTAAGAGACACTCTATATGCTTGGGCAACAGATATGAAAAACACCTGTGCATCTCCTTTGAGAAAACATTGTCCTGTGTGCCTGTTCTTGTACTTACAAGTTGTGCTCAGTTGGAAACTGACAAGAGAAACCTCATCTCTCTTAAAATACGTCTTTTGAGAGAGGGGAATCAAGATTTTAATTGTGCTGTGGACCTAATACAACTACTCGCTGTATTGAGTAATTGAGTTCCTCAAATGTATTTTGTAATTAACTGTCAATATGAATGTACCAAGCACATTCCTGTAATGCTTTTAAGGGTTTTTGATCTTGAATTGGGGGAACCTTTCTTAGATGCAGTATTTGCCCCCTATCTTCATTCCCAAAGGGAAAATAAGGCCTGGTTCTGTGCTAACGTCCTGGGGACCAGGCTCTGTGTTCTTCCTTATTTCAGCCTGCACAACGGAGCTCAGGTCGTTAAGCGCCAACGACAGCCAGAGGTATTTTGCCCAATCCGTCCAGAATCTGGGCGGGCCCAGAATCCCAATAAACCTTTTGGTGACAAGAAAGTCTGTAATGGATCAACAGCACAATTTTGACAAAAGCAGAAAGTAAATAGAACACTAATTAGGGCTGTTTTAGAAGTTGGACAAAGAAGAATAATTCTAACCAATCATCTTGGTGATTCTTGCGTGCTGGGAATAGATGTCTCAGCTAGAGAGAATGTGTAAAAATGTTTTGTAAATGTATATTTTACTGTGCTCTTCGTTATAAAGTATATTGATCTTTATCTTATGATTTCTGTTTTACAACTTACTCATAAAGCTATAAAACAACCTGAAATAAAGTAATATTTAATAAAGTGGAACTTTTGGCTGTCATCCATCGCAGCTGCTCTGGAACAGTTTAATATTTGCATTTGAGAGTGTGGAGTCCTTGTCCCAAATTCCACAGGTTTTGTATACGCCACTGAATAACTTGGTAGATGTATCCTGGAGAAGTACTTCAGACTTGTGAAAATAAAGTTTTGTCTTGGGAGAAACAAAAGGTGAAGCCAATCTGAATTGATTTGCAGACTCCTCTTGCAGTGGAGCACACAGCCAGGTGGTAGTTTGGCCTCCCTAAAAGGCAGTGCCAGTCTTGGGCACATTTAAGGGGATCCTCTCATGTGCATTTCCCTCTGCCCAACCACTTTCTGCTGTTAATGGATATTTCAAGCCATTTTCATCGTCCATTTCTTAAGATACGTAGCTTGTTTGGAGAAGAGTAACTTGCCACCTGCAGGTTTGTAGTAGGGATTATGACAGGCTTTTATTTCTTTAAAATCAGGAGCTACAAGCCACTGGGTACATCTGGCCAGCTCTCAAATATTAAAATGTGCCTGATTTGAACAAATCAAGTGGGCATGATTACCTGGAAACAGCTTGTAGTGAGGGGAGGGGGGCTCATGAAACGTAAGTGGCATCTTGTGTGGGGGGTCCTAATTCAAATGTAGATGTGGAGTGTGTCGTTGGGATCTAAAATGTTTTGTTTTTTCTCTCTCAATGATTCTAGAACTCTCATATCAAGAAACTGGAAGGAGAGCGTTTCAGATTCCACTGTGGTGCCCCAGGAGGCAGGAAGGCACAGATCGTTGTAACTAACAGGTATCGTTGTTTTAGCAGAATCAGAGGAACCACAAGCCAGGAAAGGGTCCGGGAGAATTGAGGCAAATCATTTCATTGCAAGCCTGTGGCTTCCCTTTCCCCTCATCTAACTAGAAGGCAAGCAGTGCTTTGCAAAGAGTCGCTTTTGAACCAGGATCATGTTGGGGGATTTTTAAAACTTTATTTCTCGGTTGAGAATTTCCTTAGAATTGGGGATCGGAAAACTGACAGATTCTGCAAAGTTTTGTCTTATAAAGCTGAGGAGGGCATGAAGCTTGATCAGTCAGCCCCTGCTTCCAACTCTCTTAAAGCTAACTCACTCTGCCGCTTCCGCCAACAACCCTACCCCATTTCTTGCCTGTGTGTTGCCCTCTAAAGTCAGATGACTGTTACCAAGGGCAGGACTTGATAGAGATTCTGCTTCCCTGAGACCCAGTCCAATATTGGACTTCTTTCGTGACAAAGCAAATGCCACTTCCTCGTGCTGAGCAAGCCTAGTACTGTTTATTTCCCATTACGTGCTCTCTGAAGATTTGAAGGTAACCTGAAATATACCCATCGCTAGAGATGGCAGGGACTGAAATTATGACCTTTGGAATGCAAAGCATAGACTTGACCTCCAGCGCTGACCTCAAGGCTCCTCTACAACCTAAATGTCTGTTCCCCCTTGGACAAGTGCCTTCATTATCTTTTGCTGGAGGCTTACTGAAATGATCAGAGGCCTGCATTTCACACCCCTACCTGGCTTGATTTGTGGGTCAAACGTTTCAAAATTCTCCCATCTTCTTTTGCACACACATGCCAGAACTAAATAACATTTAACAGCTCATTCCACCAGAGTGCTGTCAACTTCTACTGCCTTCCAGTGTGGAATAGAGCTTCCTCACATCTGCCGTGCAGCTGCATGGTCTAACCCATCAACCTTTGTAAGACACTACCATCTCGACATCCGGGCGAAGAATGATTCTGCTTTAAGTCAGTCACCCAATTGTGTGCATTCTCAGAAGCCACGAAGAAGAAAGAGAGGTCACCTACCTGTAACCATGGTCCTTCTAGGGGTCCTCTGTGAATCCACACATCCCGCCCATCCTCCCCTCTGTCCGTCATGTTGTCTTTTTTGACAGTGGTGGATTCTTACAGGAACTGAAGGGACTTCTGGTGGGTGGAGCATACACTCCACGGGAGGAATGTCCTACGAATCACATGTCTTTAAGCTCTAGAAACCTCTGCGTGGTCCTGCGCAGGCGCAGAACAACCCAATTGTGTGGATTCACAGAGGACCACTAGAAGAATCATGGTTACAAGTAGGTAACCTCTCTTTTCCTGTCTTTATCTAGGAGAGTGATGTTTGTAAAGGAAGTAGAGATTCTAGGACACATAACAACAGACTGGGATTATTTATACGAAGACTTCACTCGTCCACCAAATGTAGATGAAAATGTGCTGCAAATCTTTGTTAAGGTAAGAGAAATATATTCGTGCTTGTTCTGGTAAAGGGATTATAGTCAGAAAATGGAAGAACCTTTAGAAACCAGGTGATTTGGGATTTTAAATTTCATTGCTTAAAATTTGGCTTCTTGGAATTAGAACTTTCCCAATATCAAACTGAGATGCCTTTCCGCATCTCAAGAATAAAAATGCTATGACAGTGTTAAGTCTGTTGCAACAAAACCAACCAACACGACTACCCTTGTGGAATATTTTCCCCTGGTAGCTTCCTTGGGACATTAAGATTATTCTGGATTATAAGAAGAGAAAAAACACAACATTTTGATTCATCAGTAATGGTGCATAATTTAATATTTCAGTGTTAGGTATAATCACGTATAATGGTAAAGTAGGATTATCTGTTTTCTTTTGTACGAATAATAACATGTCCATCACAAATGTGATCTAGTGAGTCCCAAGTAACATTATTGCTACCTTCCTCATTGTGCTGATTTTTCTCACAGGATCAAGGTCTGTTAGCATTCCAGAAAAGAGATAGTGGTGGACATGAGTCAGTAAGGAAAATCAAGCTCCAGGATGTGGCTTCAGCAAAGGTAAGTATAATTGAGCTGATCTTTTATCACCTTAAGACCTGTTCCAATATTTCAAGTGTTAATGTAATTTCTGATACTAGCAAAAGGGTTTTGAAACGCCCTAAGTTTGCTCTCATACTATCTGTCTCATTCCAGGACATTGCACATGCCAGTCACGAGCAAGCCTTTGAAAAAAGAGTTTTAGGAGTTTATTTAGGATGTGGAGGCAGGTTTTCCTATTTCTACTCCTTAGGTTTTGGTGTGGGTTTTGTGCTGAGGAATCCAAAGAAAATAGGAACACTTTCCCATCTTATGACTTGGAGCTGTTATTAGGTATTTAAAAAGTGGGCTCCCTAACTTCCTACCCACTGTGGATCAGAACAGTAGATTCTAGAAAGTCTGGAGGTGAACAGAATCCGGACTCTCTTATCCTTGACAGTCTATTTCAGAAACAGCTAGATCTAACTGAGGCCCTATTTAGCTATTATGCTTGAAGATTTGAAGGGCTCGGCGCGAAGCGGGGGGGCAGTTCTATTCTTTTAACATTTCGGTTCTGGTTGCCACCAGCTAGGCTAAGTTCAAATCCCATCTCTCCAAGAAACACCTTTAGTTTTTTTTTTCCAACAAGATTTTTATAAAGGTCAGTGTTATCTTAGAATAACAAGATCCTGTTTGCTTCACAGGTGACGTGCCATGCCATTCAGGAAGCTTGGTCCTCCAGGCAACAGGAGAAACTGGTGAAACAAGCATCTCTAAAATTAAGCAGATCATCCACACCATTTTAACAGCAACATCCTTAGTTTAAGCGGTTTTTCAGGGAATTATTTTTTTCAAAACAGTGTGAATAATGTTTGTCAGGGGTCTTCTTCCTGCTACTTAGACCAAACCGCACCTCAGAATAATTCATCTGCCATATTTTGATCATTGTTCTCTCATGTTTTAATCTCTGCAACAGAGTAACAGATGAAGGAAGGGTTGCTATTCTTTCTGCTTTAATAATTTTCAGTCTGCTTTAAATTGACCAAAATATTATTATTATTTTTTTGCTCAAGTCAACATTTATTTGCATAAAGTGAATGGAACCGTCCTCCCTGATCTACTTGAAATTTATGGAGATACTTTTTCAATATCTGTAAAAAAAATTGGCTGACAATTCATTGAAGTAACGGAGTGTGTCGGTCATAGAAATACAGAGTTGCCTTATTTATGTCAGCCAATGCTGAGGCCAGCATCCTGTTTAAATGCCCTCGTGCGTGCACCATTTGTTGTTCAAGCAGTTTGCAGCATTTGGTGGGGTGTTGTTCACTGTTTATTTCAGGAGGATAGTGGCTGTTCCTCAGGGCAGTGATCACTAGTACAAAGTTTGCAGTAGATGTTTACGTCGTGTCACATTGGCTTCAGGAACTAGCGCACTTTGTACTTTTAAAAAAATGACATGCTAAAAATGTAAATTTATCTGTTCAGGGGGATGCTCATGGACGTTAAATCCAGCGGTAGAGCTATCCTCACTGTTCTTGCACTTTAATCCCTTTAGACTGCCTTTCAGCAGCTCGCCTGTGATTCTAAGGGTGGCCTGCGCTATCGCACATGCAGCGTATTTTGTTCACGAGAGGCTGTGTGCACTTTTGTAGCAATGGTTTTATGAAGGAAGTCTTGTTCATTCAAATACTGATTCTACATCTAACAAATGAAGGGATGCCTCAATGAAATTCACTGAGTTTCACATTTCTGTTTTTTTATTATTATTATTACCATTTGCCTACATAGACATTATGTTTAGGATGGAATTCTTCCCCCCCCAACCCCCAAAACCTGGCCTTTCTTCATTCATTTCATCAATGCTTAGTATGTTTGCGGCGGCCAAAATAGGCTATGAGTGGGTTTTATGTCTGATGCAGCCTAGTAAATATATTAATCAGTGACAGGGTAATAAACAAAGAAAATTAGGACAGAATATTCATACCTGACAGTCAGATGCTGTTCTGTGAGACTGCCGTGGTTAAAGAAAGCTCTGCAGTCCGGGAATGGAAAATACCATTCAGGCTTTTTTTTTCTTGTCTAGGGTAACGTCTTGCATTGCATTGTACTTTTACTTAGAATGGTAAAGAAGCCACAGCTGATTATGACTGGCTACTTGGCTTGCAGGAAAATGGTCCTGAAATCTACAAAGTTCAGTAAGTGTATTTTGGCTCTGGGCTCCATGAAATGTATTTTTATATGCCTTTTCTTTACATCATTGTTGTGTATATGGCACTGCCAAATAAAAAAAGATTTTATATGCAGCTTGTTATGGCTTTCATGGCAAGCACTCAATGAGATCCGGTGACCAGACAAAGAAGTTTAAAGGTATTGTATTGCCAATAATAAAATGAAATAAAATAAAAAATATATAGTTGCTTTTCTTAGCCTTCGAAGAGACATGTGTTTGGAGGTCACACCCACACCCTCCAGTCTTTTTCCATTAAGCTGTTTCTCTTGCTTTCCACAAGATGGTAGCATTTACTTGCTGTGGCAGTGGAGGTTGGCATCTGGTGATGGTTAGAACAAGGCTTATGAAGTTGCTCAGAAGGCCCAGAACAGAGCTGTCCTTCTGAGGGGTCTCACCACACTTTTGTCGTTACTGATAAAAGCGGGCCTCTGGAGAAAGAGTTAGGTCCTCACAAGATCACTCCTTCCCAGCTTTGACTTAGCTTAAGGAGGAGGACGGGAAGTCCCTGGTCCCCCACACCTTTTGGCCTCCCAGTTCCCATCAGGAAGTTGCCAGCGCAGCCAGGGCTGGTGGGGGGGTGCGCTACGGCAGCCGCTGGATTGGCTGCACTTTGCTGCTCTTGTTCTAGACAGAACAAAGTATTTGCAGCGTGGGATATGTTCCGATGGATTGATGTGATGCCCTGCCTTTCTCCTGGGCAGAGACCCAAAGCGGTTCAGAATAGGATTAGAAAATAAGATTGCAGCAGCAGCTGCAGATGAAAATATACACAAAGCTGTAAGGTAACTATAATACCAACATCCTATTATATTACCTTTTTTTTTTTTTTTTGAAAAAACAAACACCCCAGTATATGTGACAATTGGTGATGGAGCTGTGAAAGGGAAAGGTTTCAATCAATATATGTTGGGATAAATTTCTTATATATAAAATTATCCGAACATACATTGATTAAAAACCCTTCCCTTACACAGTCCAACCTCCAGCTGCCAAAAGCCTGCAGAAATAAAAGATGCTTTAGATTTATTTATTTGAGTCTCGTAAGGAACACCATATGTAAGTATTTGTACAGACCTCTGTGTGTGTGTGCATGTAGAGGCACATCAGAGTTTCCAGTAGGAGCATCTGCAGAAGTTTAATCCTTCAACAGGTTGAACTGCGGCCTTAAAGGGCATTGCTTCTAAATGTCATTACAAGGCTTTCAACCCAGAACTACAGAAGATGAAGTAACCTGGGCCCCTGCATGGTCAGGTAGCAAAGGCGTCCTGCTTAATCCCTGAGCTCCAGTTCCTTCAGAATGTGAAAGCAGCCGTTTGTAAAGAGCAAAGCAGGGTGTGTGGCCTCAGTGGAGCAGGCGGGCTTTTTGAGTAAGGTCGAGCCATGCGTTCCATGTAACTAAAAGGAAGTACATTATTTTGCCCAAGACAGAGCATGACAGCCCCTGATAAAACAGACTCGAAATTAGTGGTGCTTAATTTTTAGAATTCATAAAATCGGTGACAGTATTCTTCTTCTTCTTCTTCTTCTTTTTAAGTGCAATGAATTCATAAAACTGACTTGGATAGATTTACAAAGTGTAAAGATAAGGCAGTTCATAGAAGACGAGACATCCATGTCTCTCTTGCCGTGATAGCAAGCCGAAGCATTTCCTCCTGAATACCAGATGTTCGAAACAAAGCGTAGGGAGGTTCCTGTCTCCATCCATTGCTTAAGAGTCCCCAGAGGCGTTTGGCTGCCTGCTGTTGGAAGACGGAATTAAGCAGATCTTGGTCAACCCAGGAAGGTAATTTAAGTTCTTTGGCCTAATAAGGGGGCTTGAGACAACACGGCAACGATGGTCTCGACAGACTAAGCAGTGTCCTTTGAAGGGTGGCCAGGGTGGAAACTGAGTACGCTCATTCTGTACTCCAGTATCAAGAAAACAGACCAAAGGCAAGAATGTTCCAAGATGTTTTCTAACTATCTTGCAAATGTATTTAGATGTGCAGTTGGAGAGCCCTAATCTTCAAGACCTCTTAACATCTTAAAAATTCATAAATATGCAGATAAAGTGGCATGAGGGACCAGCGTGTATCTTGGCGAAACAGGAAATCTAAATCTATGCAGTAGCTAGGAGGGCTTCCTTGCATTTTCATCAGGCCCAGAAATAGATCTTTTCTTTAATGGGAAATGCAAAGCAGTATGGCACGGCAACCATAAGAGTTGCAGAGTGTTGTTTAAAGAAAATGCTGGTGTTTTAAAATGTTTATATTAGCATATGACTAAGAGAAAAGGGGGAAGCAGGGAGGAGTAAAACAATATGCATTTTCTAGAAGCGTAGCCATGTTAAGTCTGTTGTGACAAAAATAAAGGTAGGTGCCACCTTAAAACACTTATATAAAATACAGTGACATTAAACTTGAAAGTTTCTGCAAAAGTCTTCTCTGTGTGTGTGTGTGTGTGTGTGTGCCATGCATGCAAACACACGGCCTTCACAGATGGATGCATGCGCACACCCCAGGCACAGATGCATGCACACACACACATGCACGCACACACACTCCTGCATGCACGGATGCACACACGCCCCCATGCACACAAGGACATACACACAAACTCACATGCATGCACTGATGCCCCCACGCACACTCGCCCCCACGCGTGCACAGACGTACTCAAGCATACACAGAGAGAGAGAGAGAGAGAGAGAGAGAGAGAGACGTAACATCTCATGCGGCTCACTGTCCTTAATTTCAGTTCTTCTTGAATGGGTGGCCCTTCCCTAAATATTCAGGCAGTGATCAGAGGATAAGTAGCTGCATTATTCATTGTGCTTTTTCTCTCAGGTGAGATCGTTCTTAGTGCTCTAGCCTTCCAGGTCAGTGCATTTTCATCAGGAGGAGGGAAATGGGAAGCCATTTATAATTAAAGGTTGTGTCAGGTTTTTTATTGTGACATGAACCCTTAAATCTGTATATTAGAGAACCACTTTATCCCGTACAATCCTGCTCGCTAACCAAAATTATCTTCCAAGGTCCTTTACCATATCCCTCCAGAGGTTCCATCTACAGCTACTATTCCGTTTAAGGCTACTATTCATTTCTCTGGTGAACAGACATGCAGCATTTTTTCAGATACCAAGCAAAGAGTAATCTTTTTGCTTTAGCTTTAATAGCAAACAAGTTACTTTTGCTTACTTTTTGCAGCTGTTTATTTGATGCTTTCAGAATCTTTTTCCTGTTGTAATTTGTCTGCTGCCTCGACTGTTTGTCTAGAAAGCTGGGATATAAACTTTGTGAATAATTTTTTTTAAAAAAATCAGTTCCAGGGTTCCTGTGAAAATATAGGTTTCTAATACACCCTGAACCATAAATGTTAAAGTGGGCCATAATCAAAACAATCTTGAGTTATGTACCATGAAGTTGGAATTGACTTTTGATGACCCTAACAGGGCTTTCATGGTAAGTGGCACGTTTCAGTGATTTCACAAGATCCACGGTGCCTTCTCCCTCCACGAGTTTTCATGGCTGAGCAGGGGTTTGAGTCTGTCACTCCATCCGTGCTACACCAAAATCAAGAGTCTAAAACAGTTTGAACACTTAAAAACAAAAAACAAATCAAAGTACTTTCAAAAGGCTTTGAAACGATTCCAAGCAAACAATAGCCCGCAAATTGAAGGATGGAAAGCTGGCCTTGATTTTGCTCATCCAGGAGAACAACCAGTTTTTTTCAACTTTGGGCAGGATGCAACACAATGCGGGGGCAGCCAAATCTCCTAGGGGAGATCATTCTGTATCCAAGCCCAGAAAGGAAGTCCTCTCCTGTGCCTCGAGGCAGTGTCCTGCTCCTGCCTGTGGGCCATGAGGGACGGCCTGCCTGTAGACTGTAGTGGGAGGGAGGGTATGAGATTAATTCAGCAGGTTTCCCATCCGGCCTTAGCCCTCCCTTGACGGTCTTCATGCCTTCAGCTTGTCTTGTTCAAATGCTTATGCCGGCTTCCAAATGTTTGGCTTTAACATCTCGTCAAGAAGTGGGGGGGGGGAAGCTACAAGAGGAGCGGGCTACTTGTGGTGGCGAGTTGCTGTTGGACTTCTGTTCCTCGTTGTGCTGTGCTGGCAAGCACTAATGGGAACAGCAGCACCCCTCATTCTTTGCCCCGAACTACCAGGCTGAAATATAGCATTCCCCCCTTACTCCCGTCAAGTGAAGGGACTCCTTCTCCTTTAATTCCGTTCTATACAACTCAGCTCTGGAGGAGCCTGCCTCTTGATCTCTGATCTGCAACTGCCCCAGATGGCCTTGCTTACAAAAGCAGCCGCCTGTCACCTGCGGCCCGATGTTTTGAGTTTTTGCTGGTTTCCCCCAAATATTATATCATTGAGACTTCAAGAAGAGTGGTGTGGAATCCAAATGTTGACCTTGTTTGCAACTTCTCAAGTCACCCAGTAAAAGTGGCACTCTGCCTACGATGTCATTTTCATCCGTGGATCATAGAGCTACCTGGGTTTTTCTATGTACTCTTGAGGGAGGTATGTGTCATCTTTTGCTTCCTTTTAAGCTTCTAGAAGTTGTAGCAATACCTGAAAATCCTGGACGCCCCCATCCATCTGCTTAGGAGAGGACAGATGGTCCCCCTCTTTTGAGAAAAAAAAATCATAATTGTGTATTGGATCTTGGAAAGATTACCTCTTGAACAATAACTCCCAGAACCTCCTCCTTTTGTGACTTTAAATTAATTGACTGTGCCAGGGGCTAGACAGAAGTGGAAAGAAACAAGACGCGGGCCCAACCTTTGGTCTGCCAGAGCCCTGAGGTTTTAATGAATGGGCTGCCATTGTGTCTCCACCCGTGACACCCTGGAATCCATCTCAATTTTTATATTCTTCCCGGGGTAGACAATGATGAAAGAGCTCTCCTCGGCCTGCCGCAGGTGATCAATGGCAGCTCTCCTTTGCCATTGTTTGTTTTGCCAGTTGGGGAAGCCGTGGAGATCAGCAAAGCCAAAACCAGAGAGGAGACGTGGGGCGGGGAGGAGGGAGAGCTGCATGGAAAGGGTGACGCCTCCCCCTGAGCCATCTTTATGACCCAACAGGGATAAAGGATGTCCCCAGAATTTTAAAAAGGGTGTAGCACCCAACATCCCATAGCTGAGAAAGGACAGGTAGCCAGACAGGTAGTCGTAACACATCT